GGGGACCTGCAAACCAGGAATCCTGGGGAAAGTAGACCTCTGAGTCGGTAAACCTGGTCACAACTCCCTCCTAAATGGAAAGAGTCCCTTTGGACATTTTTATTTCTTTATTAAATTTATCTCCGCCCATCTCCCCCTGATGGGGAACTCTGGGCGGCCCACATAACCCATAAAACAATAAATATATGTAAAATTACCGGAAACATAAAAACTATGCAAAATGCTACTAAAAGAAAAGAAAAAGTCCAAGAGGCTGATGGTTTTCAGAGCTGCAGATGAGGCCTCTAAGGGGCTAGCCACCCCCACATGTGCCAAGTGGTATCCCACAACCACTCACTCTATGCATGACCAGTAATACCGTATTATAATTTATGTATTTAAATTGATTATAGCCGCCCTCTCCCATAGACTCTGGCCTGCTTACCAATACAAATACAAAACAGTTAAAAACATACAATTTATTAAGAGTTGCAGAGACAGCCTAGCCTCCTTTCCACCCCCAGACACTTCAGACTGGCAGTAAAATGTTAAGGGGCGTCCCCAGCTTGATGGCCAGGTGGCAGAACTAGCAAGGGGATTCCCTGGATGAAGTTCCCGAGATCTGCTCAGGTGGGATCCACGATATTGTGCGGAGGGAACAACAGTCTTGACTCACCTCAGGACAATTTCATTCCAACCCACATGTGTTCCAACCCACTTCTTGTCTGTTCTAGTAGTTCTTCTCATGGTTAATCTTGCACTTAATGTTTTGGGCTTATTTTTTTGCCAAGGACATGCCCTGTTGAATTGCCACATTTCAAAATGATCTATTTGGAACAGGCACCCAACTGGAGTGCAATCTGCATGTCATGATAGCATCTTCCTTGCCCATTCCCTTTCTTCACCAGAGGTCTAGTTGGAAGCCCCTGATACTTTCTGATTAGGAAACACGCGATGCTTCCCCACTGCCTGCCCTTCATTCATGTCTCATCCCCTGTTTTCATTCAACCAGCTAGTTCTACAAAGCAGGGATCGCTGAGAGTGAAACGTGGCTTACTGTGTCTAAAGGAAAGTCCCTTTCCCCCTCTGCATTTCAGGAGCCTCCCACCCCCCCATGAATGAAGTGGGAATCTTTGTTTTCCCCCTGTGGTTGGTGAGACTTGATAAGGCCGGGGACAACCGTCCCCTTATCAAAGCAGGGGAAGGGGCTTTTTATTTGTGGACTTTCCGGCACTGATAACCAGATATTCTTGCCTCTGATTGATGAAGCCCTCTGACTCCCTTATTGTAGCTTGCATACTTGGATATGCCTGCAGCCACGGAGAGATAGTGGGGAACACTCCGGCAAACACCCACCGTATGGTCTGTTGATGTCCAACATTATCCAGTTTTCTAAATGCATCTTTTATTTTTCTGCTCCCCTTCCCCCACCAACACATGCCTCTTTCTGCACACAAACCCACAACATCTTGCTCTGAAAAAGAATGGAGGGGAGAACCTGACAGTATCTTTGCTACACACGTTGTTTCCCTTCTTAAATCTGCACTGCCAGCTTCTGATCTGTATTGTGGCTGTGGTCCAAAGTTCTACAAAGTGGATACACAGCACATCCGTTCCAGTCAGGGGCTGACTGATCGTGCCTGCAACTTTGATGGTGCACTGGGTATATAAGACATCTTATTTATCCTAACTCTGCCTGTTTGATTTTCTCACTACTAGAGCAGTGAAGAACATTGAGCCTGTTTCTGGTTGGGGTGGCATTAGCTGCTTTCTTTCTAAATTCTGGAAGTTGTGAGAATTTTCACTCCTTTTTTTCCCAGTGTTATTCAGTGCATGTCTCCATAAATGCTACTTCAGGTTGATTAACCCATCCAGTCAAGAATAATGAATAGGATAAGATCTTGATGCCATATTGTGATGTCAGTTCTATAGGTTGCAGAGACAGAGAAAGAATGAATTTCTTCTCCCATTTCCATCTCTATCTTTTACACATCCCCAGATCTGCTTCAGAGCATTGGGGTTCTTCAGAATCAGATTTGGGGCGCACTGCAGAGTACAAAGACAAAGTGAACATACATTATCTTGCTTTACTGATACGGAATGTAGGTCATTCTCTCCCTTGATTAAACCCTTGATAAATCCCTTGATTTAGAAATTAGAGTACTATTTAAATACAAAAACATATAACAAATGCTATCATTCTACACTGAACAAAGCATGGGTAGATGGGTATACAAAATTATTTTCGTATTTATCACAGTCAATCATTTCCTCTTACAAAGCTTATGTACAATATAGAGAAGTCAACAAAAAATGTTAGTGCATTGTTAAAAATGTATCTCTTTTCCTTTGTGACACTTGTTCAAAATGTGTTCATATCCAAAGGTGAGCATTCTGAGTTTTGACACACTTGGATGCCTAGTTTTAGCAATATGTCACTCAAGTTGCATGGATCAGGAAGACATTAATCTGTTTTAATTTCTATAATCACATTGCCTTAAAATATTTTTATTCCTTTCCTTTATATTTTAACTGAATAGGATTTATTCTCTATTAAGGAAGAACTTACAAAAGTAAGAGAAAGTATCTTCTTGTTTGTTTATTTATATATGTATAATATAAATTTAAAATATAAAAAGTTTTCTGGTAGATTTAGGCTAAAATAATATAAAGACAAAAAATGACAACCATAATCAGTGTGCTTTCTCTCTCTCTTTCTCTCACACAAAGGACTCCATAAAAATATTTAAAACCGTTCCTCCCACCAGTGTATGACTCTGAACATTATTGAAATAAATGTTGAATCTAAAATGTAAAAGTGTAAATACAGCTTTAGGCTGCATGAACAGAAGTACTGATTCCAAGTCATGAACTCATTCTGTGTTCAAATTGTGCGCACCAGATTTTAAGAAAGATTCATAGATGTTGGAACTGGTGAAGGGAAGAGCAATAAGGATGATCAGAAAGTTAGAGATGAATTCTTGTGCGGAGGAGAGGGAAGGGAAGGGAAGGGAAGGGAAGGGAAGGGAAGGGAAGGGAAGGGAAGGGAAGGCATTTAGGCTTAAGAATTTGGAAAGTGTTTCATTTTTCCAACTAGACATAGAAGGCTCTAATGCTGGGAAAGGTGGAAGGAAAGAGAAGAAGAGGATGACCAGCAGCAAGGTGGATGGACTCAGTTACAGTGACAATGGATGCACCATTAGAAGATTTGGAAGAAGAGATTAGGGATAGATTTTTATGGAGAAAATCTATGTGGTTGCTAGGAGCCGACAACAACTTGATGACACAGAATCAATCACTCATCTAAATTGGGGCTTCAAAAACTCATTGGAATGGCTGGGGGAGTATTTCTGCAATATCTATCCCAACTTTGTGTGCAGAGATAAAGAACCAGATGGTATCCTTGGATCATAGGTGGGAAAATATTTTCTCCAGGAGGTTTGGCAACCAATGCAATAAGACAGAGATAATATCTGTAGCTGTGCACCTGCCAAAAACAAAGAGATACTTGCCCAGTTATGCTAAAGGGAAATGCAAATTCCCCCCTCCCTCCTTATCCACAGAGGAAGCTTTTAAAATATCCCACAGATATACAATATATAAGGCAAAGGTTAGGAAAAAGGATCTCTGGCTGAAAACACATTTTTACAAAGGGCCAATGCTCAACCTCTGGTCGGTAGGTGTGCTATTGTGTAATGGCCTTCCCCATTTTTCTTTGCTTGTCAGAAAATGAGGTAGTCGAGGAGAAGGAACAGTGTGTGCAACTCTAATGCTTTTGCTGGCCATGCCCACCCTGAAAATTAAAATTGATATTCAAGAGACAAGCTATTGGGATCATGAAGTAATTGATCTCCTGTTTGGTAACTCATGAGAAAACCATCATTATTTGATGGCTGCAATGTGATGTGGAGAAATTGGTAAATTTCATCACAAACGTGGGGAAGAACCAGGTAACTTAACATTCTTTAGACTCAGAACTGGCATTCCTTATTTGACTATGTATTATGCTTTCAGAAAAAAGGCAAGTAAGTAAAAGTTTCTAGTTAACTATGATGCTGCTCTAATTTGTAACTTTTGCAAATCCAATGCACATGGTTAATTTATGGTTCAATATATTGTGCAAATCTAAGAAAACAGGTTAACTCAGAATTAATTGAACATATTTATGAATGCAATCTCTTTCTCTGTGTGTGAATAAGTTATTGTGTGTAATGACACGTTTGTGTATACTGTATCCTTTCCAAGAAATAGAGAATGAATAGCATTTTAAACTGGATGAGACATTTATGTACCCAGTTAATTTTAACTTACTGGTAAGTTTCAGATATATTACAAATACAGGTAGTCTTCACTTACTGACTACTTCATTTAGTGACTGATCAAAGTTACAATGACACTGAAAAAGTAACTTTATGACCAGTCCTTGCATTTATGACCTGCATGGTGTCTCACAGTCACATGATCGACATTTGGGCACTTCACAACCAGCAGATATTTACAACTGTCACAGTGTCCTG